TCTACTGATTTATTATTCTATTGATTATAGAGTATAGGTAAGTTGTTAGGCTTATAAATAAAAAATGCAAGTTATGGCTCTCAGGTGATTTCTAGAATCTAATTATAATCTATAAATTATATATACTTTAATACTTATAATTATAATAATAATAATAAAGATCTAGTTAATATTATATATATACATTTTTTATATTATTATATTATAATATCTATGCATAGATCTAGTTATGTTATACTGTCCTAAGTATTACTAAGTTATAGGATCAATATTTATATATATATATATACCTGGTACTATATATAATGTAATATCTAATCTAATAGTAATAGACTATATTTATATATATATAGAGAAAAATAGATCTAGTAACTAGTATCTAATAGTACATCTAGATTTATATAGTTATTTTAATATACTTATATAGTCTCAAGTCTAGATATCTTCTTGTCTTATATAAGATCTATATAGATCTATACACTTTATATAGTTAATATCTAGTCTAATAGTAGTAAGTCTCAAGTCTAGATTCTCTAGATCTACTATGATCTAGATTCTAAAATGTAATATAATCATCTAGAGAGATCTAGTATTAATCTAGATCTGTACTGTATAATGTAATAAAAATATTATTAATAAATAATCTTAATTATATAAATCTTACTAAGTTGTTATAATTAGATCTATATTATAGATCTATAATACTATCTAAAAGTCTATATAGACATAGACTTATAGTATATAGATTCTAGATCTATAGAAGTATAGATTATACAGAATCTATAGATTTTTCAATCATATAAAATAATATAATAATAATATATCTAGTAGACTATATAACGTTTAATATAAGCAATAAGTATATAATATTATTGTCACTAGACTAGAGTCTAGATCTATACTCTATCTTTAGTCGATAGTGATAGTCTACAACAGTGTTTCCTAAACTTTTCTTTAGCGGAACACTGAGAACATTCAGAGAATTTAGCGGAACACTTTATTTTTTAGGTGCATTTTTTTTTCTATTTAAATTACAAAAAAATAATTAAACCATATTCTAAATTAAGCTTTCTTTTCAAGTATACAACTTTAAAAAAAATATAGATATATCATGATATATAATATAATATATAATTATAAAAAGATTTAATAGCTTTGATGGTATACTTGAAGAGCATAACTTCTTGTTATCATGCACCATGTTGCTTCTAAAGCTGAATTCTAAAATCTAGTGTGGCATCAAGCCAGTTTCTAGACTTAAACTTTGTTGCAACATAAGAAAATCCTGCTTCGCACAAATAGGCTGTATGAAACTAAATTAAAATAACAATACATATATAGCTGTTTTAATATATATATATATATATCTGATGTGATGTGAAATTAGGTTTTACTTGTTTGTTTGTTGCAACATACGTAACTTGCTTCACATAAATAATTGTGATGTAGGAAACTTAAGTTAAATGGAATTTGTTTTGAAATGTTTTGATACTCTTTAGACAAGCTTTAGACAATCATTTAATGATTTATTTTAGTATCTTTGTTTCAAATTAGAGTCTCTATGTTTTTTTTGTTGTTTTTTTTTCCTTACTGTGGACAAGTAATACATTTTTTTTTTCATTTACTTAAAAATATAACTTCTATTAGGCCTACTAGTTAATAACTCCTATAGTTCGTGGAACACCTATTCCTATCCTCACCTTGCGTAGTGCCTGTTTTTTTTTTTTTTAAGTAACCCTTTTTTACATTTTTAGATCATTTGAAAGCTTTCAGCTGCTTTCTTATCATTCTGGGAGGTCCTTGTGGAACCCAATTTGGGAAACATTGGTCTATGTTATAGACATACCCCTAAATCTGTTTAGTTTCAACTTTAGCGTTTCTTTGATTTTTTTTAAGCGTTTTTTTTTTATCAATTGAAAATAAATATTGTAATAGAAATACTTTTTTTTTTAAATTAAAAGGTTGATGCAATATTAGGTCAGAGAAAGAGGAAAGGTGCTCTTGAATATCTTGTACGATGGAGAGGTGATGGAGACAACGTAGAAAGCTGGGAATCTGCTTTATCTATAGGTTCAGATTATGCAAAAGTGATCCAGAATTTTATAGAAAGTAAAAAGGTAAGAAACTGAAATTAGCACATAATTGTAACAATTAACAATATTAGTTAGAAATGTTTTAAGAATGTTTATATTTTAAATGTTTTATTAAATTATAAGAAGTTTCTTTGATGGTCTATAATATATTTGAAATAGATTTTGCTATGTTCTTTCACTAAAGGTTGGTGATGGCACAGTCCAACAAGTGGACCCTTTACTTAACTAGCAGATGTCATTATTTTTTCAATGTGATCATTTTGTTTGATAGCTAGGCAATTTGTTATAGAATTTTCCAATCAATTTACATATATACTTATTGAATGATTAGTTGCAATTATAGCAGTATATTTAAATGAACTACTACGTCATTCACAATTCTATTATAATTTTTTTTAGAGTGAAAAAAAGCGATCTACCTCAAGGTCAGGAAAAGTTTCTCGTTCAAGATCTAGGTCGTCATCAAGAAATAGAAAGTCTTCCTCTGCAGAGAAGTCAAAATCACGTTCACGGTCACGAGGTCGTCCAAGAAAGACTGAGTCTGTACAAAATAAAGAGGAGACAACAGAAGTAGACGGAATAGTTATATCGACCACTCCAAGTAAAAACACACGCAGCAGAAAGAGTATTGCCATATCTGACGGAAATTTTAAGGAATCAGCAATTGTAGTAAACACTGTAGAAAGCATTAGTACTGAGTCTAAGGTAATAAATTTTTTAAGTAGAATTTTGTTGTTTCTTTCTTTTTGAAACTTATTCGTAGAGTCTTGTTTTTATTTTCTGTGTTGTGAAATTAGGACTTATTTCTCTCCTTCTTTTTTCAATGAAACTCATCTGCTGCATAATTGCCATACAATCCTGGCAACTGTATACATTTCTAATGTAGATGTTTACAAACTAAGGCAATGAATAATACTCCATTGTGTGTAAAATAAATTCGTAATTTATTCTTTTCATATTCTTTAGAGTAACACAGACTCCAATAATATGGCAGCAGCAGCATCTACATTCACAAAAGAGTTAGAAGTACAACGTGTTCACAATGAACGTTGCCTTGTTCGTGATGACGATAAAAAATCTCGAAGCCTTGTTTGGCGAGTGGCTGATTATGCAGTGATAGTCCTCTTTATTTTATCCTTTATTGCTGCACTTTTTTTATTCCTTGAGAAAATTGTTGAGTAAGTTATTGTTCATGTTAATTTATTCTAATTAGTTTCCTTTTCAAACCAAAGAAGTTAATCAAGCATGGGCATATTTTGACAAATGAAGTTAATTATTTGAATTATAATAAATAACACGGCCTAAACCCTGCCTAATGGTTGTTTATTGAATCTTAATGTTATGAAATATAAAATTAGAAGATATCAACAAAAAAGAAACCAAAACAGGTTACTTAAAATATAAATTAAAAGCTACTTATATTTTACATTTGTTTTTACAGCCTCAAAGATTTCAAGTCACAGGCTTTTCCAAATATGGAGACTTTAAAAACTAGGCTGACAGATGGTTTTCAAAGCCTCTATGACAGTACTTTTTATCTGCTTGAAAGACTGGGTGATCTGTGGCTTTATTTAACTCAACAGCCCCAAAAAACCAGTGCTTGAAATATTGTTTATCTTGTCACTGTCCTAGAAATGGATCAAACACATTTTTTACTGCTTCCACTGTTGTCAAAATCAAATTTTACTCAAGTGTTTAATTATTTTGTAAATTGGGGTATTTCATTGTAGGAGTTGGTAGCATTTTATTTTTTAGTTAGTTATAAATTGTTTTTGAGGTATTGATAGATAAAAATTGTGCTTTATAATTAAGGTTAGTGCAATGGCTGGTGTTAGGCTTAAATATTCTAAATAGATATTTCTTTTCAATATTTATACATTTGGAGTGGTAAGGAACTCCTTTGATTTCTGAAGTAAACAGACTTGTATACTACAGTACTACATGACTTTAATTTTGTAACAGCATTTAGCAAAGATTGTTAAAATCAAATACTGCCTTTAGATGTATGTCTTATTCATATGTAATCACTACCCCCTTCCCTTTTTTTTCCCAATAAAAAATAAATTTGGAAACAAAAACTTTTTTTAAATTTAAAATAGAATTTATTTTTTCTAAACGAATATTAAAATACAGTTTCAATTTATGCTTGTAATAATTTGGACTGAGTCTTTTAAGTTTATGTTGGACAATCATGATTATTAATTTCTGCTAAGATTTTTACTGATTTTTGCAAGCATGCTCATGACTTTTTTTTTAGCACATTTAAGTAGAGCAAGTAGTGTGTTAATTTTTTTTTGGACTCTATATAGAATTACATTGTGATTTTGTCTGCCTTGCTATGCTCTACATTTGCTTTTTGAGTTTGTTTTTCAATCAATGTTTAGCTTAGATATATTGGTGTGTTGTTCACATATTAGCTAGCTTCTACTCTGTGCAATAAAGGTAGAAAAGAAATGACCAAAGAGTTACATGTCAAGCTACTGTTGGGCTCCCACTTGATTTCCAATCTCTTTTTGATTTTACCCATTATTCTGTGCTGTGTACATTGATAGAATTGCTCTGTCCACACTCATCCTTGACATTGCCTTGTGTATCCTCACCTTGTGTAGTGACTGTTTTTTTAAGTAACCCTTTTTTACATTTTTAGATCATTTGAAAGCTTTCAGCTGCTTTCTTATCATTCTTGGAGGTCCTTGAATTATTTACAATTTAAAATAAAAATCATAAGTTCATTGAATTTTTTGGAAGACTCATAATTGTTCATGCAATGAACAGACATTCCGGTACTTTAATATTTTAGCAATCTTGTTAAATGAATTTTTAAAATTGAAAAATTTTGAGAATATTGGTTATTGACATTTTTTATATTGTGGTCATATATATATATATATCTCTCTCTCTCTCTCTCTATATATATATATATATAAATATTTTTTCTCTCATTAAAAAATGCTTCAAACTACTCCCAAATATTATCTATGGTATCTTAATTTGTCTCTGAAGTCATCATCTCTTTGAGTTATACATTTTTTTCAAAATTAAGCTTTATGATAATAGAAATTAAATAATGTCTACTTGTTTCTCCTTTACTTGGTGCAAATATAAAATGTGTAATGCCCTTTTTTTTCCTCTCAGAATACTTTTAGAAAAGATGTTCTTGATTTTACATCTGATTGACCAACTTGTTGATAATATACATTGTTTGTTTGTTTGTGTAACTATTCATCTTGATAGCTCCTGACTGGGCTTTTTTTTTTTTTCTGGTTCAGTAACTAGTGGACCAACATTTATTACTACTGGGGCTAGACCTAATGATATATGGGTTTGGATTGAGCAATTTTCTTTTTTATGGTTTACATCTCTGTCAGGAACTTAATTGTGTATGTTGCAAGGTTTACCATTCTCTTAGGAATCACTTAATTGTGTAGGTTGTACGGTTTACCATTCTCTTAGTGGACATTAAATATAGTTACAGTTTGAATAATTAAAAGAGTCCTGCATGTGGAATATATGTATCAGACTGTATAGATTAACACAACTTTTGTGTCATCTGCATAACCTTGGATAACTATCCATTTTAGTAAATTTAAGCATTTTTATTTTGTATATTTGCATTCAGTCCTGTATATAACCTTTGAATAATTAACCAATTTATCCAATAGCATGAATATTATACACACTTTCATACTATGCAGAAGTAACATGTTCAAAAGTGACTATTTCTATTATAACACTACTGTTTTGTAACTATTAATTCAAGAAAAAGTGATGTGATTCAAGCTTTATTTCTCTCATTCCATGACATCCATAGATCAACACAAATAGTACTTGATATTGTACCAATTGGAGAAATTGTATTCGTTAAAGGAACTATTTAATTTATTAACCCTTAACTTGTTTCCTATTATTATGACCCAACATTCCCAGAGAAATATTTTTGTACCATGTAAGATTTTGTTTTTATTTTAAGGAGTAGTTAAGCTTAAAACATGCAAAATTTTGTTTTTTAATTTTAAGGTTGAATGTTGTGTTCTGTTTTTGTGAATTGTAATGTAAATTGTCTCTGTACTTTTCTGTCTCTGTAATCCTGTGTAGTTGTCCAAATGTACAAATATATTAAAAGTATTAAGACATTTTACTCTAGTGTATTAATTTTTTAAAATTTATTTAAGCGTTCACATTTATATAAAATGTTAAATAGCTTAAAGTGAACTTTTAATTTATATGAATATCAATAGTATTGATTTTATGAAATATTAACACATCATTATTTTAATTGCATGAATACAATATTAAAACAAAAATATAAAATCCTAATTGAATGATCCTTTACTGATGTTACATATTGGCATGACTTATAACCATGACAAGACATGGTAAAGTACTTTCTACTATATGCTAAGGTCTTATAGATCTACCTTTCAACCTATTGTTCTTTCACATCTTTGAGTAAAGAAAAGAGATCAATCCATATAGGCTTACAGGCTTAAATGCTATTTATTTTACAATGCATATACAATACTTTACAATATTTACTTTGTATCTTGAATGTTTACATTTTTGCAAAGACCAGTTCTACTCGTCTAATAGTCATCAAATGTCACATACATGCTAATGATCAATGACAACACACAAATCAATCAAAAAGTTTACCAGTTAATTGAAAAATTAGTCTTAATTTATTTTGCTTTTATATAAAATATTGTCTAGAAAATGTACTTTTTGTGGAACGGTTTTGTAGAGAGTACATATAAGCAGGTTTCCGTCCTGCATTTAGGTGCTCAGCAAACATAACTGCTCGAGTCGGTATTAAAACTCGAGCCTATTTGATAAGTAGCCAAGCTCAGCCACACATCACACACCGCATACATTATGTTAAGAATGATAAATAAAATATTACATAGAAGTATTTTCTTTCAAGCTGCTTAATATTGCAAAATGAAACATTACAAGGAAAAACAAAAACGGTTTAGTTAGAAGTTATGAGACTATTCTTATGTTTGGTGGTTTAACAATGCGCTGATTGGTGACTCGAATCCATTCACCTTTATATACGAGCCTCCAATGCAGCCGATAAAAGTTTCAGTTAAGTATTAAGTTGGACTCCTTGTAAACAAACAAATAGATGCTATTTAAACATCTGATATGTCAAGTATTCAGTTTTGATAGCTTAGAATAATTGACATAGTCTTATTATGAAGGGTAATATTAATTTTGCTGGTGAATTATTACAATGCATTTCATATTCGAAGTCTACCGTCCCATACCAAAATAAAGGAAATGGCCACAACACAGCTTCTCTACGCCAATGATATCCAGCTCACGGTCAACGAATGTGCGTACGCTGCCGCCTCGTTTGGTTTTACTATAAACCTCGGAAAAACGTTATGTTACAGAAATCACCCAATAAAATCAACTCATCCCCAAATATCACCGTGATTGGACACCCCTAACGTGTTAGACAACTTGACTGATCTGGGAAGCATAGTATTAAATGACGCATCGCTTTTAAGGGAGGTTGATAACCGTCTGGTCATGGCCAGTAGTGCTTTTGGACGCCTCCAAGCGAGACCAATCGTCAAAGAAGGCCTGAACACTAACTTGCTACGTCGCAACCTGTGGGCAGTGGAGACCAATAGCTCGTTGCCACATCATATAGATCTGCAAAGACTTTATTCCAAGCCAGTAGTTTTACGGAAAAGATGCGTGATTTTTCTAGACTAGTGGGGGACTTGTCCTTTAAAACTAAAAGCAACACTTCGGATTGGCAGTCTTTACCCGATCGCTCAGTTTCGCCATTACTAAAAACTTTTAAAAATTAGTTCGGGTAAATATCTTTCCTTAACAAATTATTCGTCTGAGCGAGGGTCGGCCACGTGGTAATTAAGTCAAAGCAAGTGCTAAACCTGTTTTCTCATTAAAATTTACAAAGCGTGCCTCTTACAATTCTGAATGCTACAATCATCTCTGAAGGTATTAATTTGTCTTATGTAAATTATAAAGTTAAAAGTCAACATTTTTGTTTCTGACTATAAACTTTATCCTTTTAACTTAGTTGAAATGAACATATTTGTTCCCTATTCCATATACTGCTCACTAACTTTTGGACCAACCTGTAAATGTACCTAAAACATTGTTTAATGTTAGTATTGTAAGTAGGTCTACCCTGTACATAATACACCAAAGCACTATACAGACTATTATTGATGTCAGTGTAGCAATTTGTTGTTGGCCTCTTTCAGTCCTAGAACGACTCTGGTTCATCTCACACACTTCCTCATGTGGCTGTGGAGCCCTATTTTGGAGAGACACTCCCGTCCACAAATATCGCAGGTTAAGGTGGCTTTTGCTTCGGTGGTAGAGGAGCTGGCCATGTTTCGCATTGTACCTTTTTCTTCCTGAGCTGAGACCCATGTACTTTCACTGTCCATAGCTTTCTTGGTCACTGTCTCTCTCCATATGGTGCGGTCTAGAGCTATGTCTTCCCAATGGTCAGTATTGATGTTCACTGATTTGAAGTCCCGTTTTATTACATCTATGTAGCGGAGGTGGGGGTTACCAGTTTTTCTTGAGCCAGTCGCGAGTTGTCCGTAGAGGATGACTTTCGGAATGCGATTGTCCTCCATCCGGCGAACATGTCCAAGTGATTATGATTATTGTCATTAATTTGACCTTTTTTAAACTCTTACAATGTAATTTTTAAGTACTTTTCATTTTGGAGTTGGTGTTTTTAGGTATGCAATCATAAAAATTTAGTATCCAAACAAGAGCGAAAGTCTGCCAAAAGCTTATAGCTCAGCATAAAAAAGCTGGATAGAAGAAAAATGCTATGCCTTTTGATCTTAAAGGAAATTATTGGATGTCATTTTGGGGTTGTTTTTAGGTCTTGGTATGCAATCATAATCTTTTTTTTTGGGGGGGGGGGGGGGGGATAAGGTAAGAAGATGATCATATTTCAAATGAATGTATCAATCCTCAAAAAATCTAATTATCAAACTTTGAAGCGGAAGACGAACAGTTCAATGTTTGTTTTATTAACAGTATTTACATTGCTTACAGTTTAATGCTAGAAACAAAATTTATCACTGTTTAATTCAACAAGAAACAACATTATTAGCAGCTAAACTAAAAAAAACTCAATAAAACATTTTTAGCAGTTCAAGTCTCAACCAAAGTGATTTTATGACAAATACCAATAATAATATAAAACAACTGACAATGTCAAGATTCATATAAAAGCTTATAAATTTAATAAAAATACTCGTTGTTTATAACATCACCACAACCTGTTGAACACATTCTGTAAGTTTCCAATACAATATTATCAAATTTTTCAGAAATAACATTGTCAACAATCAGATAGTTCAACAGCTAAAAAAAGAAAAAAATATGGACTAATCTATGTCTTTGACTAAATTTCAGCTTTTTTCTATAGGGTAAGAACTAGTGTTTGGAAGACTCTAGGTTTTCACATACAAATGAAAATCATATTGGATATAGCAACCTTATGGTAAGGCAAACTCTTAGGAGATGAATGAGCTGGGTTTTAATTCCAGTCTTTCTAGTTAGAATTCTGTATTCAAGAGTTTAAGGATGTGCATGTTAGTTAACCTCTTTTGTTGGTTTGGGATTAGTTATAGTGCTAGCAATGCTATACTTTTAAAAGCAGTGTGTCTTATTTGTGGAAGAACCTTATTTGTAACCAGAATTATATAGGCTCTATATTTCATAATATGATTTTGTTTGGCATGAAAAAAAAAATACACGAAATTTACATTAGTACAAGAAAATAAAGAGAATTTGTGTTAAGGCAGCTCCCCTGGGTTTAAGTTACTTTGCACTTTATTGCAAACAAACACAAAATTGTATGAAGGTTGTGGATCAACAGAAACTGTCTAATAATAAAGTTTTAAAGTTTATATCTACGTGCCTATAATATGCAAACTTAGTTGTTAAAGTGAAAGACAATTTATCATTCTACCTAAAACATCTAGTTAACATAAAAAAAATTACATTCATTTGACAAGTATCAAAACTTGAAGCATATGTTACAAAAGATGAAACATATTTTTCTCAATACTGTAACAGTGTCAAGATCATTATACAGTACTGGTAGTATAAAATATTAAATCTTGTTTTATAAATGATGCATGTGTAGGAATAAAAGAGTTTTCATTTTACTTTCACTTTCAGGAGATCAAAATTAGCAATAGCACCAATTTAGATCAAGGTAGTGGTGAAATTCGGTTTCTGAAAAGTTCTTTTGGTTTATTAGACAGACAATACAAAGACAACAGCTGATTTGCAAAAAAAAGTTATTATTTTTTTGTATTTATTTTGACAAAATGATAATCTTTGCACATAGTAGGGCATTTTTCTGGCAAGGAGTATATTACAGATGACAGAAGATGCATATAGACAGAACAAATGCTCTACCAGTTCCACCATATCATAAAAAATGCAACAAAAGCAGTCACATTAACACTGTACAAAAGTATCAGACCAGAAATTACCACTGTTGTCTCACCATTAGATGGTCCGCATATAAACTTTTCAATTACCTTACAAAGACACAAATATGTATACATAATTACAGTTAAATGCCTCACTGTTGAAGAGCCATGTAAATTTTAAACAATGTATTGTACATTAAAAAGTTTCTAAGTCTATTTAAACTATTGTTTTAAATATGTAATACATAATGACATTGTTTTGTTCTCAGATATATTTTAAAATATTGAATAAATTATCCTAATCATTCACTTAAATTTATTTTTTTAGTTATAACCCTGTAGTTCCACTGGAATAGCAGTAAAAAAAAAAAGCAGTCATAGCAATAACATAAATAAGTGATTAAAGTCTAAGCTTCAGAAATGAAGATATCAGTATTTCATTCTAGCCCAACCTTCTGAAGGATGACTGTGACAAATGTTGGGAGACGAGTGAGAAAAAAAAAATACAACAGATTTTCAGAGAAATAAAGTACTAAAGCATCCGTTTTTATTCCTCAAATTGATCAGGTACAAAACATTTGAATCTAAAAGAAAAAAAAGCTCTTTTTACAAAGCTAATATCAACTCACTCTGTCTGAATGATGATATGGCTAAATTCAAATGCTTTCGTGATTTGTAAATTTTTAAGTAAGAATTTTCTTAAATTTAAATTTTTCTTATAACCCTTTGAATGGAACAGAATTTCATCAACATCAAAGGTATTTGAACAAGTATTACTCCTACAGTGGATAGCTCATTTTCGATCTTATAATTATTCAATCT